GAGGTTTCTGATCTTTTTCATCCTGACCTGAAAAGTAACACACACATCAAAAGTTTCAAAGAGTGGCAGCTCATGTATTCAAAAGCAGTTATTAGGGGTGCAGCGATTAATCGGCCGGCCACTTCTATTAACCTCTAAAACTCCAATCAATATGGCAAATGTTTTCAAAGAAATGCTGATCTTAATCCTGTTCCTTTGTTTGAAAATATTCTAATTGCCATTTCGTTTTGTTGTTTATTTTTCAGATGAGCATACAATAATTAGTAAAATGCAAAACTATTGACTATAAAACAGTAAGGACTATCACATCCAAATAATTTATCTTCACCTACAATCAAGGAGGATTTAGGCCCAAGCTTTATCTTTCCTTAGCAGAATGTGCAAAGCTGCCGCTGTCAGATTTAAGCAGCTTTTGAGCTGAAAACTGATATCTTTCTTTGAGTTAATCTTGCCTTTCAGAGAGCTATTAATCTCTATAATTTAGTGGCTGATTAAACGTCTCTGAGCCGTTCTTGGCTGCAGAAATGGGTTCGGCATGCTGGACCTCTCTGTGCAAAGTTTCCAATGAACTAACTGGCATAAAGAAGCAGCAACATTACGATGTAAAGTCTAAAAGGAAATCAGACATACCAGAAAATATTGGTATTTAAACTATAGAAGTACACATAAAGATAACAGAAACACCCCAGGAATGTATGGCACAAGTTCATGTATCATGTATCAGGACTAATGAAGCCTTTTACCACAATCAAAACAATAACGAAATGCTGTATTTAAAACATGTGATAACCTCAAAGCTGGACGACTGTCAATTGTGCGCTGTTTAAAGGAGATGCCACTGGATAGAAAAAGAAGCTGACTATAATAATTCTATTAATTTAGTATTAGAATAAAGTCAAACCGTAAAGTTGACAAGTTTCTTTATAGAAAACAAACTATGTGAAAAATGGCAACAAGTGATACATTACTAGAAGGCAATAACGTGAGATGCAAGTGAGAGACAAACTATAAAATCTCAAATATGCAGCTCCATGCAAACGTATCCACATGTCAATGTTTTTACAGACTTAAGTGCATTTCATTAAAATTTTTAAACTTAGACCAATATCACTTTATAATTTAATGCGCAATTTTTAAAAAATATAAATCTAGAAAGGCTAGTGTGTGTTTATTACTGTTAAAGTCTTTTGCAACAGTTGGTCTTCTTCGATTTGTCCTTTGTGTAATTTAATCAAATTAAAAATCTTTAATGAGCCTTCTGAGGTGTGTTGGAGAACATCAGTAAAACAACCAGCATCATGACAACTGTCCGCCATGAACCCCAAAAACTGACCCTGATATAAAGAGGGAAAGAAAAACATTGTTAAAAGAAAAAAATATTAAAACTACCATTTCCAGTTTCCCAATAGCATGTAGGGACATATTAAACATGTGGAGATGGTTTCCTCATCAGGTGGGTCTGAACCAAACTGCTGATCCTATAACAAAGACTGAAAAATAATGTGAATATATAACTATAGTGGGAGCAACACACACGTTTTTTTTTTACACAGGGACAGGAATGCTTATTAGAGTGTATTTAAAGCAAGAAATACAGAAACAAATCCTAAGGGACATTTTGATGTGGGGCAAAGGTCTGCCTTTTATTACAATTAACTTTAATATAGAGCTGTAGCCTGATAAACTAGACTAAATGTGAGATTAAATGTGTTATTAAGTTTAGCCCCGATTAATGAGACAACAGAATATTATTGAGAACAACCCGTGGGGCTCGAACTCAGAACCTCAAGATTCCTAGCTCTCTGCCCTAACCCAGGGGTGCTCAAGTCCAGTCCCCAAGAGCTACCATCCTGTAACTTTTAGATGCATCTCTTCTCTAACACCTGAATCGAAAGGCGCAATCCCCTCATTAAGCCCAGCAGAGGCATGGTAATGAGCCACTCATTTGATTCAGGTGTGGTAAAAACTGGGTGCATCAAAAAGCTGCAGGATAGTAGCTCTTGAGGACTGGGTTTGAGCACCCCTGCCCTTATCAGTAGGCCACCACTCCCTTTTGATGGCATTTTGTATGAGATATAACCCTGCTTATAAATACAGATGACTGGGGGATGCTCACTGTAGAATTAGACGTGTTTAATGGTGTCAAATATATGAAAGCTTTGTGATAGACAACTAGACACTGGAAGAGGTGTCAAATTAGTTTGCGTTTAATAGATTCAAAAGTAAGCATACCATGACATATACTGTTTATTTTTTGTGTGGAACGAGCATATAAAAACAAACTAATGAAAGTATCACTCGATTTCAGAGGAAGTTCATGACCTGCAATATGACTTTATGTATACATTTATACTCTCGTGGCTTCTTCTCTCCTGTTAATGCCTTTATCTTTGTTTATGACAAATTATCTAATGACAGCACATACACACTTGCATTACTTTCACGGTTCCACGGATATGTTTTAATGGCGATGATTAAAAAGGGGTGAAACGATAGCTGTTTTTTTGTCCTCCTCTGCCCAAACACTGTAATTCAATGAGAGCCTTTTGAAGCTTACTCTTTTCACCGTCGACAGCCGACGTCGTCGTCTGCATGAGAAGCTCCGCATCTCTTTTAAATCTGTTGCGCAGCGTCGCTAACTCGCTGTCGTTAAACATTTTTGTTCAACTCATTAGCTTTAAAAGCCTACTGTATAGAAGTCCCTTCCGGTTTGGATGAAGCGTCGCTCGCTAATGACGAAATATACGCGACAGCTGCAGTTTTGTTGTGATGTAAAATAACTACTGAGAGAAAATCTATACAGATTAGATTAGTAAACATAATGCCTGCATGTTAAAATTAAGTATAAATGAGTAAACATAAAATTAGTCTATTAAGATAAAACACAAATTTTACTATTTTTTTATTTGTATTGTATAATTATTATTTAACTTTCTTGTATTGACCAATTGTGGCTTGATTGTATGATTGACTTATTATATTATCTCACAATGACCATTTTTTACATGGGTGTATATATATATATATATATATATATATATATATATATAGTTATTGCACTGGGTGTCAGATATATAGAGAAACAGGTTATTGCAAAGGGGATCAAACAGTAATTTCACATTATTCCTTGCACAAGTTGTTGTTATTGTAGTGTCGAATTGTAGAGTCTGGTTGCAGCAGGGATGAATGACCTGCGGTAGTGCTCCTTTTTACGAGCCAGGGGTAAAAGTCTTTCACTAAAGGATCTGCTCAGCTCCTCTACAGTCTGGTGCAGAGGGTGGAAGGTGTTTCCATGATAGATGTAAGCTTGGACAGCTTACAACCTTGGTTATATAATGACCATGCATTTACGCCATTAATATGATGCAATTTGAGCTTAGCTGCCTTTAATATTTTTGTGTCTTGGCTACATCATAACCCAACCTTGTTATAATCATATTCAAGTTATGTTTTAGAATTACCTTAGTAATTTTAGAACTGATATCTATTAGTTTTGACACGGCAACCTGATGAGTACGGCTTCGCCATATTTTTATAAAACTAACATTTTGATTTCCCTTTGTAACTAATAAAGTATTTTTAAATATAATATATGAGATTTCCGACAACACATAACAAAACCTGTCTCTTAAAAATATAGAAAGATACGTCATAACTTACCACTAGATTTAGCCTTAGATGAGCAAATCAATTCCATTGTTACCCCTTAGTTACATCATCTCAAAACCAAATCATATAGACAAGATATTCTCAGTGGGCCAACTAATACATTTAAAATCTGCAGATAATTTAATTATTAGTTCAGTTTTTCCAGTATGAAACCAATTTTTATATAAACAATTATTTCTGTATGTTCATTATTTGTTCTATGCATTATGCGAATAAAGGGGTACTACACCTTTCATCTATGTAGCTAATCTGACATTGAAAAAAAGAATTTTAATCAGTTTTTACTATTCTGCCAGTCCTCATTAATTTTACAGAATACATAGTAGCTGGCTATGTGCCATGCCTCATCTGGAGTCCACTGTATACCTTTACATAGAGCAAGAATCTGACACTGTTGTCCCATTTCTGAACTCTCTGAAGTGTGAAGCTAAAGAATCTACTATGATACAGAACTACATGATTTAGGTTTATTCCACTACCCACCTTTGTGTACATTTGTGTATGCCTATATTTAGTGTAATCTAACAATAAACAGGCGGTCAGAAATGGTGTTTCTAATAAGTAGAATAGGAGGGTTTTTTTTCTAAAACCAACCAGAATGGAGCTGATGAGAAGGTTGTTGGGACATTCTGGTCATTATAACAGGTTGCTAAGTTTTAGAAGGTACTTTAACTGAAAGAATGCAATATTTTTAGACCTCCCTGAACAATCAAGATGAGATTATCTTCACACTGTGTGGGCTACTTCAAACTACATGACTGACTGACGTGTTCAAGTTTTCTAGTATTAAACTATTTTAATACTAGAAAACTTGAGTAACAACTTGACTAAAACCCAGAGTATGCAGTATATTGTTACAGTTAAGCAGTGTGATGAATGAGCGTCAGTGTTAAACCTCCTGGGATTAGAGGAGCTTCATAAAGCTGGGCAAGGTTTACTCCTTCTGTGTGTGTATGTGTGTATACAGGGTAAAGAAACTGCTTATTCTAGCTGTGGAAAATCAGAAAGCATTAAAACTTCACCTGAGGCTGACACCAAGCTTCTTGCTTCTATGGAGCTTCTGTGTCCCCGGCCAAGTGAACCCCGTTCGCAGTGTGGAGGAATGTGCATTAGCTGCATCCCGTGTGAGTGAGATTCAGCTCAGGTGCACCTCTCCCCATGTCTTTTCCCCCTACGCCAACATCCAATCCCGCAGATAAGGTGCCATTTCCCGGCCTTACCGTGAGCTTGGAATGCGGCAACAGAGCAGCCTTCCATTGCAACTGTCATTTTATAGATTAAACAGAACTGGCACGTTCTAAGGAAGCATATATTAATTACACTGAGCGGGCTCACTTGTGTATAGCCATTTAATCCATGAGATTGGTCATTTGTATTAAAAGCTACAAGGGAGAAAAGCAATAGCAACATTCGTTTAAAACAAACAAAAAACATGAAGATGCCATTAAGGAGAAGTCTACTGAACAAGTTTTACTCTGTCTTTTAAAACTCTAAACTTGGGGTTTTTGGTAATCTTCTTGTTGAAAAGAGCCAACACTTCCTCTTCTGTTTTAAAATGACTGTCACCAATGAAAGAGTAGTAGGCTGCCAAGACCTGCAAAGTACAGGACATCATCTCTTTAACCAACAAAAAAGGTATACCTTTAAAAGACAATTTAAAGAAGATCACATTCATGCTGGAGTATTGAGGTAAAGATGATTCAGTATGTCATGTACAACAGAAAATATTGCTTACCTTCTTCCTGAGTTTCTTCACTGACAGTTCCTGCTCAGGTGACTCTCTCAGCACCGCCTTGATGTTTCCCTTCCAGTTGAACTTGCCTGTAGGATTGATATTAGAAACATAAATAGGCTTTCTGGTACCCAAACTGTTATAAAGAGGATAGCACTGACCCCTGCTGGCTTTGTTAATACAAAATATTTTCCTACTTATATGCGTTCAAATAAATGAGGTGTACTTGTGTTCATTAAAATGAGATGTAAAGTTTGCTTTAAGGTAATTTAAAGCAGGTTACCATGAGGAACAGCTTGATTTTCAGTCTCCTCTTGAATGTGAATTTCTGCAGCTTCGCCAACTAAAAAAGGACAAGAGTTGATAGAGAAGCTGATGTTACCGGATGTGCAACTTGACTGAATAAATGTCATAGTTATGAAATGCAAGCTTCTTCAAACAGAAAATGTAAATGTTTTATTTACACTTTGTTTTCTTGACTGTGTTCTCATCATCAACTCCATTTTCAGTCTGCTCCTCATCTTCTTCATGTTTTCTCTTTCGATCCTTTTTTTTCTTTTTTCCTGTCTGACACGTCACTGTTTCTTCTTCTGGTCCTTTGTCATCCCGTTTGGTAGCTTTTCCGTTTTTTTGCTGACGGGCCTCTTTGCGCTCCCGTTTGTTCAGCTTTTTCTTCTTTTCTTCAGCATTTCCCTGCTCTTCTTGTTTCTCGGTTCCATTAGTGTTTCGAGCTTCTGCCACAGAGTCTAGGGTTTCTTTGGACGGCTGTGTGGCTGGAGGAGCCTAACAAATTATGAATGGAAGATTAACATTAGGTTCGATTATATTTTTAGAACTTTAACACCCGATATTGAACAGACTAACAGATGTTTGACTATTCAGTCTCTGAGTTACTGCACATCATTCTGTCAGTAAGGCACTCAATCCTTAAAGATGTGTGCATATATTAGGCTAAAGCCACGTTGTGCAAGGGTCCATTTTGCTTTTCACACATATAATCATAAAATGGCCAAACTAGGGATCAAGGAGCATTTAAAAATCGTACAATAAATGCTTTTGTATGCCATTTTACAGTAATTAGTATATCAACAGATAAAATGGACAGTGATTGTTTAACGTTAAGAAAAAGGCTGAGTTCCAACAACACTTTAAGTAAGTAATAAGGAATCAAAACAACATACAAAACAAAACACATAATCTGGAAAAAAAAAAAAAGGTTTATGAGAGACTTTTCCATGCCTCTTGAACTTTTTTAATGTACCGTACATCTATAACCCTCACAATGTGTGATAGAGAACACATCAGTCCCGCTGTGAAACACAGCGGTGGCAACATGGTGCTGTGTGAATGCTTTTCTTCAGCACTGACAGGAAGGCAAAGCAGTCCCAACTGGAAGATATAACCAGCTAAATAAAATGTAATCCTGTTAGAGCACCAGATATACGACCGAGTTGGAGGGTCATCTTTTTACAAACGCAAGACCCCAAGCGTAAAGGCTGAGCTACAATGGAACAAGTTAATGTTTTATATGAAAAGGATCGCAATGAATTAGTAATGTAGAATAAAGACTTAATATGAGACAGAAACAGAAATGCAACGAAGTCTAATTTCAGTACAATATATTTCTGCACATTTAGGTCTGCATTTGAGGACTTTCATCTTTTTAAAAGCAGAGGAGATTTTTACTATTTGTCCCGCTGAGTTCTGACACAGCTCAAAATTCAGAATGATTTCACTCAGACTGATGAAAAAACTTACATTTTCTGCAGAATTAATTATGTTCCACACCTCCTCCTGCAGCCCAGTGTTTACTATTCTTAAACTGTTCATCATCCAGTTCTGAAGAGGAAAGAAAACAGATTTAACTGATTAATGATGATCTGGACACAATAATTCAACCAGCATTCATTTATGCATAGTTTTCTTCCCTCATTTAAACTACTTTAAAGATGATCCTGCTTTCAATTTCATATTTAGAACATTAAATTGTCATAGCAGAAACCATAACATAAAAGTTTACTGTTTAGTGTAACACTGACCTGAAATTTTGCTTTCTTTCTCGGTACGTTGTCATAACTACTAACTTGATGAAGCACATCTCTCAGCTTAGCACTGACCCCGGGTTTGCTCATGGCTTCATTGATTCTCTGCATGATAAAATTAAAGAAAGTCAGAATTAAGAAAAGCAAACCTATTTATTTAAGCATAATGTATAAGGAGGAATTATTACCTGTAACCACTGCTGTTGTTTCACGTCTCCCTTGTTTGCTTTGGCTTCGTAACCTTTTCCACCATACTTTTGGTCCTCACTGATACATTTATTGTGGTTTTTGTAGTCTTCCCCCCTATGTGTTAAAAAAAGGGACAAAACCCAAAGAAACGTCAATGTATTTGTTGTGTGATTCAAAGTAAACGTTGAAAGAAAACACGGGACAACCAGCGTACGTTTCTGTTCAACTGTATTGAATAACAGACGTTCTGATACAATGCTCTGCCTTACATACCAAGGGACTCAGGTTCCCTCCAGTGGTCACATTTGGTATTACACATGCAGGTCTTATCACATAAACACTGGTTAACATCACAGTATTTTCCAGTAATTGTTTGAGATTGAACTACAAATGACCTGCAAGGAAAATCATACGTTCTTTTCATTTCAGTAAGTGCTTTTTTATTTGTACTCATCCCCGGTCACCCTGTCATTTCTTAAGAAAACCATGTATAACAAGATCCTTAAACATAGACTAGTGCATCCTAAAGAGTAAACCCCAGAGACCTAAGATGAGCGGAGTGGTGTATGTATCTTTATATTGGAGAAACCAAACAACCTTTCCACAGATGCACAGCTCAACACAGACGAGCTACCTCCTCCGGACAAGACTCTGCCGTACATCTACACCTTATGGATAAAGGAAACTCATTTGAGGACCAGAATGTTCACATTTGGACAAAGAAGACAGGTGGTTTGAAAGGGGTGTGAGGGGAAACCATTTATGTTAAGAGAGGAAAAACCAACCTTAATCAGACGGTATGGACTCAAGTTTTTCAGCTCTCAAAACCTACAATGCAGCGATCGAGTTGATTCCTTCTCGCCATCATCTCAACCCCCATCATCATGCAGGGGTCCAAAACACCCCGCCCCATTTCAGAGGCATAGACCAGCATCGGGTTAACAAAGAACCCAAACGACTGGACCTGTTAGTCTGGTTCAATTTGCATGTTTTCTAAGCCAAAACAAGGATTTTGTTTGGTTCAATCTACAAAAGAAGCAAAACGTCTTCAAACTTGGAAACAAATTGGATTCTTTTTAAACATTTTTGGACATGTATTTTTTTTTTCTGTAAATGAGCCAGTGTTAGCTAAGTAGCTAATTTTCAACTGTATAACTGAGATCTTTCAGATGAATCTTCTTTGAAAATCAGGCTGTTTAGTTTTCTCAAAAATATTAAAATTTCTGGATTATATGTAGCACAAATAATGGTAAATGGCGTGTTCTTGTACAGCGCTTTGTCAAGTCCGAGGACCTACAGTACTTTACAACACTGCGTCTAATCTTAATCACACCACAAGGCTCCATACATCTGAAAGTAACTGGTTAAAGAAAATTTTTTTACCAGAAGTCTTTTCCACAGTCGATGCAGGACAGAACTTGGCACCCACGGCATTTCATGACATGTTTATCAACCTGAGCCTTTTTCAGGGATTCGCCACATGCGTTGCAGGTGAAGAAAACCATTGTCAATACTGTTTTATCTGTGTGGGTCCTTTACTACTGCTCTCCTCTCAGGCAGTCAACATGCGGGATGAACAAAACCAGCTTGGGGCTGAAAAGGGAACAGGCTGATCGTTATGCTAGGTCAATTTAACGTCGCTAAACTGTGATGAAGAGGAGCCGCAAGTATCAAAGGGTATCTGAAAAAGTATAAATAAAGTAAATCCGATTTGAGCTTGGCGAAATATCCGCACGTGGGGACGAATGTTCCAGGTCGTCTGCGTAAACTTTTCAAAACACACGTGACAACATCCGCACGGAACTACATTATTAGGGTTCCGTGTCCAAACACAATCCCGGACAAGGGTTCCGGGTAAAATCAACCTAAAAATTTTGGTTTGTATACATAAACCATCTGCGCATATACCAGTGGAGAGTATAGAACATTTTCTCAGTGGGGCAGTGGGTAGCACTGCTGCCTGGTAGTAAGAAGGTTGTGGGTTTGATTCCCGTCCTGGTGTCTTTCTGCATGGAGTTTGCATGTTCTCCCTTTGCATGCATAGGTTCTCTCCGGGTACTCAATAGACTGGCGACCTGTCCAGGATTTACCCCGCCTCTTGCCCGTAGACAGCTGGAGATAGGCACCAGCAACCCCCGTGACCCCACTTAAAAAGTCGTTCAGCGGGAATTTTTTTGGCCATTTTGTGAGTTGCGCGTAATTCAGGAACAAAAGGCATATTTTATATTTATATATATTATATATATATATATATATATATATATATATATATATATATATATATATATATATATATATATATATATATATATATATATATATATATATATATATACTGTAACTGGAGCATGTAACAAAAGTAATTTCCCACTGGGATTATTAAAGTATTTCTGATTCTGATTAAAGAACAAAACGTATCCAATGTTACTTTTATATTGAAACTGACTGATGCTGCCAGACACATTATGGCAGAAGAACAAAAAAATAACATCAGTCTAAATCGTTTTTAAAATGGTTTAAAACATATTCTCTTTTTGAGAACCCCTTCATTAGAAAACGTATTCCACAACAAACGTGTGGTGCACTATGCGCGTTGCACCAGGAAGTGACGTATGTTGTTGCTGCAGTTAAGTGACCTATCATCCAAATAAAAGGTGGGGGGCTTATTTTTTTATTAGAAATCACACTATTTTAGACGTGTTTCTACCGAACGAATCATCATTAGAAGTACATCATTAGAAATACATAGTATATTTTCATTTAGAGTGTTACTCATACGGGTTAACTTAACTTTCTGTGGCCTACGAGCTAACTGACTGATCCGTCCAAATTTTTGCATGGGTGGTCTCGTAGCTTAGGTTATGTTTACTCCGGTGTGTTTTTTCACCATATACACGAAAATTTGGATTTTAAAAATGCCAAATGTATGCCAATTACCCTTAAATGTAAACGCGAACCATCCTTTGGCAGTTGTTGATGTTGACTATTGTGTTTTGTCTTTATGAGGTAGTCAGAGCAGCTGGTTCACCATGGACAGCCTGTCCAGCCACAGCTCCTACCTCCTCCAGCAGCTCCAGGAGCAACGGATTCAGGGGCTTCTCTGTGACTGCATGCTGGTGGTCAAAGGGGTTTGCTTTAAAGCCCACAAAAATGTCCTGGCTGCATTCAGCTCCTATTTCAGGTGCCTCTATGTCCTCATCTTTTCAATCTTTGCTGAATTCTTGCTTTTAAAATACAGTGCGATGTTGTGTAGAATAACCACATGTGTACAGGTGCATGTCATGCAAAGTGTAATATCATAGAAAAATGTCATCTAGTTAATAATAATAAATAATAATAATTGAACTTTATTGATCTCACATTGGAGAAATTTACCTCTGCATTTAACCCATCCCCTTGGGGAGCAGTGGGCTGCCATCGTGGGATACCTGGCAGGAGCGGAGCCAGATGGGGGGCCAGGGGTGGCCGTGGCCACCCTTAGCTAATAATTGGCCACTCCTACCATTTTTTCCCTCCAATACAGACAGTGGCAGCAGTAATAATCTTAGGTGGAATGTTCTAACTTATTTAAAATTTAATTTTTCATATGTTAACAGTTACTTGACAACAAAAATACTGCGGTCAATTATGTACATCAACATACTAACATTAAAGATGTTAGATACCGAATTCATGCGCTTTTAAGAACTAGATTTTGTCTTATGGGGTAAAGAGAAAATTATGTCTCTCATGTCACTGAAGATTCATAGATGATTTGCAGAAATAAATAACTACTTTAATAATAAATAATCAATTTAATGTAGATATTAGTACATGTAAATATAGATTTTATGCAGAACGGTTATTGATAAATGTAGGTAAGACAATGAATCAGATGTTTAACCAAGAACTCAAGCGTAGACTTTTAATTTAGACAGCATGAATGCTAAAATATATGTGTCTTTTTGTTAGCAAATGCTGTAGGAAAGAAAAATATGAATGTTGTGGTCGTTCCTGTTGGAACAGTGTAGATTGACTCTGAGGTTCTGGCGCCTATGTGATTTTGGCCACTCCTCAGTGTACATTGGTTATTGCCTGGCCACCCTTATTAAAATTTTCTGGCTACTCCTCTGGTGCCTGGGAAGTAGTGTGGGGTTATGGGTCTTTGCCCAGGCAGCCAGAGTGGCAGTCTGTGGGAGTGGGGCTCAGAACCTTAGGATTCCAAGCTCTATGCCCTAACCTCTAGGCCGCCACTCCTTCCCTAGTTCAGCAATCTATTTCAACTTGAAACTCTAATATTATGTAAATCCATGACTTTCAGATTGATTTAAATTCCAAAGTGTCATTTTTAGTGTTTGCCTCTGTTCATTGTGATGTTTATGAAATGCAGCAAATTGATTTATATACAAATTTGCACAAAAAGTATCCTTTCATCTTCTCCTGCTTATTCCGACAGGGTTGCAGTGGGGCCGATGCCTATTTTCTGTAGTTTATGGGCGAGAGGCAGAGTACATGAAATTATACAAAACACATTTTCAAAATGATAATAAAAAAAACAAAGCTTTCATTATGGCATACACTGTTATGTGGAATACTGCTCCTCAGCAGATGTGCAGTAGACGGTCAATTAGACTAGCTGGTTGAATCCACCTATATTAATAGTCAGATCTAGGAATGGGCTTTTCTTGGATGGGTGTACCGAAACTGAAATTTCTCCCCACTGCAGTGCTGCTACAGGCTGTGTAACAAATAAAGCTATTCTGATTCTGAAAACCCTATATAAAGACAAAGTATCAAGTATAACTGATAATTAAGTTTGAAAAAGTGTTGCACAGGCAACATAAATGACCACAGTCTTGAAGATAGTATGATTCAACAGCTAAGGAAAGAAGTTGAATAATGCTGAAGTGGGTGCCTCAAGATTTCAAAGGGATGCTGTCCCGTTTGCTTGAGGTCCAGAGGAACGTTTAGAGTCCAAGATTATTTTGAATCATTTCATCTGATGGTAGTTCCACATTGTTTTATGAATTCTAAAGTCAGAATAGCATCTACCTGAAGGAATTAGAGCTGAGTTTCTGCTGAGAAGGGTTACCATTAAAATGTTAGTGGAATAGAATATATAAAAAATTATTTTAAAACTAATATTTCTTTTAGAGTAATTAAAGAAAAAAACGGATCAATTTCTACGTTTAATCAAAATAGGTTTACATTAACATCTTTAAGGGGGATATTATGAATTTTGGGTTTAACTTTATATTTTAGCAGACCGGTTCATTCTGTGGTAAAAACAAATGTTTTTAGTAGTTTTGTGTAATATAAAAAATTCTATAAAACTGGAAAAAAAATTTTTTTTTGCTTTTTTCTTAGCCATAATCATCGAACATAGAAATAAATGATTGCCTGCAAAATATCTATCATACTTCCTTTTTTGAATGATATTACTGAAATAAATAAGCTAGTAGTATTTTAATTTATTGAGATACATCTGCACATGTCCTTTGATCTTTGACTTTATCTTTTCAGGTCTTTGTTCCAAAATCCTCCTAGTCAGAAGAGTGACGTGTTCAACTTAGCGACTCAGGATGTCAGTGGCATTGGTCAAATACTGGACTACATGTACACCTCCCATATCGACATTAATCAGGATAATGTACAAACGCTCCTGGACATTGCCCAAAGTTTGCAGGTCCCAAATGTGCAGAGCATGTGCAATGCATTCCTCAAACCCTGCCCTCCACCTGTAGAGATGCCTTCCTTTTCCCTCCCAGGCATGCTTAGCTCAGAGCACGACTGCCTTTTGGGGACTAACCTGCCTCATGATGTTGACCTCAACTGTCCATCTGATCCTCAGAGGCCCAGCTTTTATAGTGACATGGATCACGCAAGGAGGATGCCAGTAACGGTGTCTAACAACAGCTCAGCATGTGACTTACAAACCAGCTCCCATGCACCTGCTGAGAAGCAGCTTGTTCATGGTTACAAACTGCGTAATTTCTACAGCAAGCAGTACTTTAAACAAAGTGCAATTCAATGTAACAGTTCATCATCAAATCAAGGTCCAGGCCCTTTGGTATTAGTGGAAGAGCAGCAATGTCAGCTTGGAATGAGCCAGAGTGGCAATAACGCTCCAGTGAGCTTAGGAAACACAGTTCAGCCTAGCCCTCCTTGCACAGTGATAACAGTGGAAAAAAATGCTGTCTCTTCTTTGACGCCCACAAATAATTTAAACCCCCCTACCTGTGACCCAGCCAACTTCACAATCAACAAGCCTGTACGACCCAAGAAGGCCGTTTACCTGAAAAAATACAACTACCTCCGGTCACAGAAAGCTTTAGAGGAGATGTGCACCGAGTCAGTCGCTGAGCCCATCCTCAGCTGTCCCAAAGAGAGTCATCAAGGGGAACCTGTTGCTCAGACTGAAGCTCCAGATGAATTTCCAGAAGCGCCCACAGGCAGCAGCCCTTTAGTAAGAGAGGAGAGTTCAGAGGCACCAGACACCCAGCTTATCAGTCCCCCCCCTGGAAACCAAGAGGAGCAAAATGGGAAGCCTCAGCCAGAGCCTCCTCAGCAAGCAGGGAATAAGCAGTACTGCTGTGAAGAGTGTGGGAAGATCTTCAAACATCCCAGCAACCTGGAGCTTCACAAGCGCTCTCACACTGGTATTAGTTGTTTTATTTGCTTTAAGTACACACTAGCACACAGTAATCACATTTATCTCTAGTGCTTCACTGATTGAATTGTTTCCAACACACACTGATTTTCTGTTTCAGGAGAGAAGCCATATCAGTGCAATATTTGTGGCAAAAACTTTTCTCAGGTATTTTTCTT